TGTGGCTGTGGCGGGCGGATCTCTGTCGGCCATAGATTTTGATTTCGGGTTGGTGGTGTTAGCAAATTTTGGTGGTGTTTCTAATTGGGCAGTGACGGTGATGTTTGTGTTGTTGATGGGACAGGGATGGTGGTAGTGGCGCTGTTGGGGTGGCGGCTTTCATTGGTGGTGGGGGTGGCGGATTGGTGGTTGGCTGTTTATGTTTGCGGTCGTTGGTGGCAGATCTACTGTTGCAAGTGTTCTGTGGGTGTGGTGGCTGCGATTTGTGACCAAGCATTTGGTCGATCTGTGACCTGTGACCAAGCGACGGTAGTATGTGACCAAATGTTTGTCAATCTGTGATCAAATTTTTGTTAATCTGTGACCAATTACTCAAATGTGACCTAAAAATTTAATAATCTGTGACCTCGAAATAATATGTGACCAACTAATTTAAAAATCTGTGACTTCGAAATAATGTGTGACGTAGAAATTTTTTGATATGTGACCTCGAAATAATTTGGGATCAAAAAATTTGACGATATGTGACCAGTAAATAAATCTGTAATTTAAAATTATGAATATGTGACTATTAATCACAAAATGTGACTTTATTATCTTTATTTAATAAATATTTTTAATTAATTAAATAAATACCTGATTTTTGAATTTTTAAACTATTTACCTTATTTTTGAATTGAGGTAAAGAATACACCTTAAATATGATTTTTTCCCAAAATACAATCTTTTTAGATTTACAGTTAAAAAAATTATTTTCACATTCACAAATCATAATTAAAAAAGGGAAATGTCACTTTTACACTCCAAAGTATATATCATTGGAACGAAAACTGTTTATTGTTTATTTTTTAAAACTGTCAAATGACAGTTTGTCACGTGGCAAATTGTTAAACTTGGTGTACACTTGGACCATGATTGTCAAAAAAATATTTCAGGAAAACAAGTGAAGATTGACAATGCTACAAATTTGGGCTTATTCTGTCTATTTGAACTTTTTGCATCCCAAAGCTCAAGAAATTCAGTGAATTGAACGTGTGTAATTTGCAGGAGCAGATGCTAAGAATTTACCTTATTTTTCGGGGTATCCAATGTTCTAAATGTCCCGTGAATTGAATATTAAAAAAATGCATTAAATGAATAAGAAAATGTCAATAGATGGTAGAAATTATATATTTATTCAAAAATGGCCTATTATTCAAATTTTAATCTGGACTTTTAGCTACCTATTAATTTTTCCTAGGACTGAGGGTAGACCTGTCGGGAGTTGATCCTTATCTACACAATCTTTGAAATTACGATTTCTTCTTAGTAATTACTGAAAAAAAAAAAAAGAACATTTTCTTGGTTTATTATGGATGAAATATTTCAGCAATTCCCCCTCGAGGAATCACCAAATTGATTACATGTTTAGTGTATGAGACTAGAGAGAAAAACATAGATTTAAAAAGTAAGGATGGCGAAATTTTTCATTCCAATTCGTCCAGCAATGCATGTCTCGATTAGTAAACCGGGTTAGAATGGGGAACATTACTCCACGAATCCACATAACCCATCTTGCTCTCCCCAGCTTGTCCGTTGTCATCCCTATTGAAAAGAAAAGTACCTAATAATTTTTTTATTGTTGACTTTTATTAGACGAGTGAGACCCAATAACGACCATATTTTCAATTTTAATTGAATTTTAAGCTGCACCGAACAGACCCTTAGTGTAGTTAATACTCTCAATAAAAAATGCGACATCATGGATAAAAAATTTTATTAGTGTTATCGATAGAATTACGGATTTTATTTCACACAATGAGTTCAAATTTTCTATCAATATATCGGCAACAGCACCGATAAAATATTACGAATTTTATTTCACAAAATAAAAGTTACATAATCGATGGAAATTTCAACATAACAAATCAATAAAATCCTACTTATAAAGAAACCACATGATTTAATAAAATGGTTGATATTGTTCATATGCTCTAAGAATAAAATATATTATTGTAAAATTAAATGGTAGACTCTTCCTTTTGAACAAATTTGAACTATGGCCACATAATTGAACTTATCTAAACCATTTCAAATTAAGTCCAAATAAGGATAAAGCAAAAGCATTCAATTTGAATTCTCACCATTTAATACTCATTTCCTAGAGACATACTTTGTTTAAGATTTCTTAATTATTAATCCTCCATTGGGCAGAGGGCAACCTGCCCGAATCATTCCCTTTCCATATAAACAAAACCCTAAACAAACTCAAATGAAACACGCATCCTCCTCTCCTTCTCCCAGTTGCTTAGAGGTTTTGATTTGAATCCATCATTCCCTCTTCTTTTCATTTCACTATATATGTCATCAAGAACACCATTTTTCTTGTAATGTTTTTGCTTCCTCTTTTTCTCAGTTTAGATTATAAGTGAAAAAAATTTAAGCTAGATTATTTCATTTTCTTGTTTGTTAAATAGGTTCTCTTGATCCAATCTTGAGAATACTTATTGGGTTTTCCATTTTATTTTTCTTTCAATTTCAAGATTGTAGTGATTGATTAGGGTTTTTTTGGCAGCTTTGTTTCCAAAGAAGTAGTCCCTCGACTTTTACTACTTTTTCAGTCAAAAAAATAAGTGGTTTCGTAAAGTAATTCTTACAAGTTTTCTAGAAATGGTGATTCTGTTTTTAACTTTTTGCTGTCCTTTCAAATTTTGTTACGATCAGTAAAGATTTCATCAGATGAATGTTCTATCTATATAGTTTATATCCTTAACACTTCATTCCACTTTATCTCTATAATTCCCTCAAATGGGTCCATCTTGTAGAAGAGCAAGAAGCACAAGAAAATCATCATCAAGAAGAACCCTTTTCAAGAAAAAGCCTCAAAACGCGAAGAAAAATCAAAAAATCTCAGTCGTTTCTTCGCCTTCTTCCACTTCCCAGGCCAAGCCCTCGTCAAATGATTCGTTGAAGATAGATTCTGGCTCCATAGATTGTGATCAAAGTATTGATATGTTGTCAAGCAGTAGTGCTTGTTCTACACCTAAGGCCGATAGATTCCGAATACCGGAGATTACAACTTGCCCTCCGGCACCAAAGAAACAAAGAATAGTTACAAGTTGTTCGTTGCGAAGAAGCCCTATAGCCTTCTTCGATCCTCCGGATATGCAGCTCTTCTTTTATTTTGCTCTTCGTGGAATCTCGGGCTGATACTTAAATGAGGTTGTTCATAATTTACAAGAGTATTTTAGTCTTGACCTTCATGAATAATCTTCACTTGTAATTTATATATCACTTTTGTTTGATGATCTTAGATTGGTGTGAGACTTGAGTTTTATGAGTGGCTTTTCGAAATTCGAAGCAGATTTTAATTAGTTTTTTAGTTAATTTTTGCTGGTTTTTTCTGGTGTGTAGGAAATAGTACTGATGAGCTAAAATTTTTAGCTGGGCTTGTAATTTTTGTGATTTTCTTTAAACTGTTTTCTGACTTTTTGAAATTTGAAAGAGTGCAATTTGATGGAATGGTCGTGTTTTATATTCTGTATGCATGATAAAGTCAATGTCAAGTGAAAGAATGGGACTACTTTTCAAGCTAGTATAGGACTGCACTGAGAACTGCACTGAATGTTCATTGAATCTTGCAAAGAAATTGATAAACATGCATGCCTGCAAGGTCCTTCCAAAAAAGTACTGTCATTTTTGTATGTTACATCACACATAGTAGAAACAATTGGTAAAAACGTGTGACAATCGATTTTTGAATGTGAAATATTTCTAGTAACCTTGCAACTTCGACGTTTTACATCCAGCATTTAAATGCTAAGACAGGAAATAAGGCAATGGACCGACACGTACACAACACTGTTAAATGTCCATCGGCCATCGGACAGCCCGGTATATGAGGAGAATTATTGGGTAAGGGATAGAATCGCCAGGCTTTGCACTAATTTGATGATTGTGACTGCCTATCCCATCTTCACATACTCTGCACCCAACACGAGTATGAAGTAATGTCTTCTTCAAACATCACTTATGCAAAAAGGCCTTCCCATATTCAACTTTTAGCACTGGAACATAAATATAGTTTGATGCAGGTCATGGCAGCCCCACTCTTGTTTTACAATCTCAATCCACATTCTCCATTTCTTCTCAATTTCTAGCACTAAAAAGACAGTATCAAAGAATATAAATGTCCAGGATGCCAGGACGGGACCAATTCTTTTCACACTCCATTTATGAAAATTGTATACACGTCAATCTTCGGAAAAAAAAAAGAATGAAGAATAATGCTATCGATCATTAGCAGGGATTAAAGATGCATCGCCGATTAGGACATGGAAAAACGCGTTAAACACTTTTTAGATGGGGTGGTTTAATGAAATTCTTTTTCACTGTGGAAAATAAAGTTGTCAAAATTGATGTTTTTAATGCTGAATTGCTTGATTATTGGTGTAAGGTGGTTGGTGGGTATCTACATGTCTGACTCTTGGCCAACATCTGTAAGGGAATCCAAGGAAAAAGGCTCGTGCGGGTTGTGATCATTGATTTAAACATTAGAGAATCTCAAGAAAAATTCATCATTTTCACATTCTTTTTCTTTACTATTTTCTGATTGGTGATTCTTAAAGCATCTATTCTCTTGTAGATATTTATTCACTTTTTTTTTTACTTTGATGATGCAGTAGTTGTTAATGCTGAAGAGGTGCACTTGAGTATTTTTGGATTTCAATTATTATAATTATAATTATTTTTGTTTCACTTGCATGAGAACAAGATTCTCATCATTTAATTTCTTACTGAGGTGGAAATTAATTAAAAATGAAGAGTTCTTGGTGAAAATTAGGCTTTCAAATTAGCCATGTAAGAAAATTTGTTTTCTTCCAAGAGTTCTTGGTGAAAATTAGGATTTCAATTTAGCCATGTAAGAAAATTTGTTTTCTTCCTCTTAAGAATAAATCTATGGGCCTAAACTTTTGTTTTTTCTTCACTAAGAGAAATCCACGAAATAATTTAAGATTTTAAATGAGATGGTTTACAAAATAATTTACCTTTATAGTTTTGATTTTTATCAACCGTAAATCTTTTAAGGTTAGCTATGTCACTCCTCTTTCACCATTTATTTAGTTCTATATTTACAAGATGCATTCGGTATCCGATGTAGCTAGTCACTAGTAAGAGACGACCCAACAAGCAATACCATCTTGTTAATGAGCATTAACTTAGCACAATTTTTTTTATTTATCGTGGCTCGGAGCCTTCAAATTTAACCAAGTTTTGAGCTGCTTGATTAAAATTAATTGTTGACTTTAATTTAAATTTTAATCAATTTTTAAAAATTATTGATTTGTGACCATGAAATAATCTATGACCTCCAAAAATTTTGATCTATGACCGATATACAAATTGTGACCTATAAAAGTTTTGGACTGTGACCTGAGTTGTGACTTGTGACCTGAGTTGTGACATGGGCCGTGACTTGTAAATTGGACTGTGACCTGGCTGTGATTCGTGACCTGAGTCGTCGGAATCGAAACAGTCGTCGGAACGGTCACCGAAATCGGAGCAGTCGCCGGAATCAGAGTAGTTGCCGGAACGATCGTCGAAAGTTCGCCGGAGTAGGGCTGTGATTGGAACGGTCGCCGGAGCGGTATGGTGGTGAAGGCGGGATGTGTTAATTATATTATATTAGAATTAAATATTTAATAATAAATTAATTTATTTCATAAATAAAAATTTAAAATCCCTACAATATATAAAAGAGGAAAGTTACTCACACTGTTCCTAAGCCATTTGGCCACCCCAGCCGAGCCGTTTTCGAGTCGAGTCATATAAGCCGAGCCCAGCCAATTGCTTTTCCTGCCATTTCTTT